TCTAGAGCAAACAATACTGATTTTTTTTAGATAATTATGTGCACTCCTGTAAGTGTTGCAAATAATTACGGGATGGAATCTGATGGTCTTTCTGACTTCAACACAATGGCAACAACAGCATTACATGACAAATCTAAATCGCCTTTTCTAAATCCAAGCAATCTGATGTGTTCCCGTATATCTGCAATTACAGCAACTTTAATCCTCATGAATGCATTTGCACACTGAAATCCACTGGAGCAGTTTGTTTGCAGTATTCTGTTGGGTTGCGTTCCAGCCCGTGACGCCGTGCACACGCACGCTTGTGTTTGCTGCATGTCCGTATAGCAACGCGACATGTGCAACTGATCCTAATTCACAATGGCTCCATTGTCTGGCTGAACGCGGGAGTATTACAGCACAGCCTGTGATCTGTATACAAATGAGATCCAGTATATTTGACTTCGGCCATCAGAATGGCTAGTGCTGCTCGGCTGTTGGCATACAGCGTTCTGGATCAGACTGACGCGGTGGGGATTGAACGAGACAGTGATTTGAACCACATCCAACACTCTCTGCTTTTCCAACTTGGTAAATAGAGTGTGGGCTCTTCAGGGATTATGTGCAATCGTCCTTTAAGGATGCACGTTATACCTAATGCATCTGTGTTGAGATTAGAAGAACGCAAAGAAAGCTTTACATCCAAGCTTAAAGGGATTGTTCACCCAAAAAAAGAAAATTTGCTGTTAATTTACTCACCCTCAGGCCATCCAAGATGTAGGTGATTTTTTTCTTCTTCAGTAGAAGAAGATTTTTAGATGAAACTGTGGTCCTTGGTGATTCATAAAATGCAAGTCAGCGGCTGCTCGTTTCTGAGAATAAAAAATTAACACTAAATTAATACCCGTGGCTCCTGATGATATATTGAGTTCTTATGAAGCGAAATGATCAGTCTGTGCAAGAAACTGAACATTATTTACAGCATTATTACCTGTAATCCAGAGCCTCAGGCAAACGGTCCAGAGTGATGTCTGGTTCGTGAATTAATCATTCTTTTGAACCGGTTCTTTTTAGTGAACTAGATGAACCAGTTCACCAAATCAGACTGAATCGTCTGAATCAGTTCGCGGCTCAAGAAGCACAGATCTACAAGTTACTCAATCAAAACTCATTTTCGGATGTCTGACAGTCACTCCGACTCCAAATGAGCCAAAATACTGTCATATCTGATCCTGTGATGAATGAATAATTCAGCGCTCCAGCTCCTTCAACAGTCACTGAACTGAGGAAACGGTTCGACTCGGACTGGAGGCCGATGAGCCGCTGATATGCGCATGTGTGAACCGAGCATGAAGGGGCGAAATGAAAGATTTTATGGTTTCTCATGGTTATGTAAAAAGGTGAGCTGATGAAGACTAGTTTATTCACTTTATATGCTTAAGACATGTAAAACATCCACATTTGTGTATATGTTATGCCATTGCGTGATTACATTAATGAACCAGTGAATTGAACCAGTTCATTGAAATGGACTGTCCGAAAGAATCAGTTCGCGGAAAATAATCAGATTCCCCATTGCATGAGGCTCTGGATTTCAGGTAATAATGTAGTAAATAATGTTCAGTTTCTTGCACAGACCGATCGTTTCGCTTCATAAGACCTCGATATATCGTCAGGAGCCACGGGTGATCATTTTGTGTTGTCTGATATGCATTTTTTTCTCAAAAATGTGGGCAGCTACTGACTTGTATTTTATGAATCACCAAGGACCACAGTTTCAGCTAAAAATCTTCTTTACTGTTCTACTGAAGAAAAAAAAGCCACCTACATCTTGGATGGTCTGAGGGTGAGTAAATTAACAACACATTTTCATTTTTGGGTAAACTATCCCTTTAACTGAAAAAGGTAGGCGTTTTAAAACGTCCACTGAATCAACATGAGTACACATGTCTAAAAACAGCTTCATCCAACAGCCTTGTGTTCAATATATCAGCATCAGTAAGCAGTTCTCTGATGCTTTTCTTGGGTTTCAGTCTCACAGCCATTAGATGCTGAACATCATTTATCTTGAGGGTCATTAATTATTTGTGTGTAGTTATTTATTGGCACTTACTCTTGGAAAACTCATATCTCTGTGAACTTTTTATCACCAAGGTAGATGGTTTTCCATCTCACACAAGAGTCTTTCCCCCCGCATGATAGAATCGCTTTCTGCACCTCCATATACAATAACAATCAATCACTATAAATTTGTCTCTGGATGAGGTTCAAACTTGTCTGTTTCTTTGACAGCTCTGCCTTCGATGGAAAATTATATTGCATAACACGTAATCGAAATGCCTATTGTGATGCCGAGGCCCGAGTGAAAGGCGAATACGAGGAATATCATCTTTAGCTTTGAAATCAGATGGAGACAACATGCGGTCTGTACGCAGCTCAGCGGGAGAACGCGGCTGTTCGGCGAGGAGAGATTGCAGAAACGCTGCTGCTGGTGCGATGACCTCATCCCCCCGAGCCACCCTCCCGCTGCTCGATGTGACCAGAATACAGGGGACAACTGGCCTCCGCCGCCGGAGGAGTTGTGTAATTTGGAGCGGCGCCCCTCTCGCTGTGTCTGAAGGCCAAGTACATCCGAAAGCACTCGTTCCACAAACAGGCTGCTTTTGAAGGTCATCAGAATTCTGTAAAGCAACAGGTTGAGAGGTTTCGATGTTTCCCAAAGTCTCAGAGTGGATCTAATATTTAGTGTATACGGTGTTCTGATGACATGGAGGTCGAGGATTGGTTGACATTTGCATAATTCCTATAATTGAGTAAATATTTAGCCACTGTGTATTTTCTGGCATCGCTCCCAGCTCTTTTCTCATGTGTTCGTGCCTCTGGGTATAGATTAGGTGCATTCGCAAAACATCAGCTCAGCACACAGTTATACAATATTTAATACAGTGAGTGAGTAAATGCTTTTGAAAAAGTGTGTTTTGAAATACACTATTCTTTATAACCAACAATTTGATGATTAATAGTTAATATAAATAGCTTTTCTGTCTCTCTGTCTCTCTGTATATTATTTTTGTTTTATGGTTTTATTATATTTACTTTTATATTTTTGATTGATAGTTGTGTTTTTTATTTTATATAGTATCATGTTATTTAATCATTAGTTATTAAATTTATTTTTGTTTGTTTTGTTTAAAATATTAAAATCTATCTGTCTATGCATGGTGTTATATTTATATTTATATTTCACACTATTATATTTGTTTGTTTATAATATTCATTATAATATTATAATATTGCTGGTTTGAATCCTATCTCACTGGTAGGTCTTTCAGGGTGGCCTGGGGAGGGGAGGTATCCATTGCACATCAACTGGTCACTGGGGTTCCTCAGGGATCAGTTCTTGGACCCCTCCTCTTCTCCATATACACTACATCACTGGGTCCTATCATACAGGCACATGGCTTCTCCTACCATTGCTATGCTGATGACACACAGCTCTATCTCTCATTTCAACCAAATGATCCAACGGTAGCAGCACGGATCTCAGGCTGTCTGGCGGACATCTCGGCATGGATGAAAGAACATCATCTACAGCTCAACCTGGCAAAGACTGAGCTTCTTGTCTTCCCTGCCACTCCAACTCTACAGCATGATTTCACCATCCAGCTAGGTTCTTCTACAATTACCCCATCAACTTCGGTCAGAAATCTTGGTGTAATCTTCGATGACCAGCTGACCTTCAAAGACCACATTGCAAAGACCGCTCGATCTTGCAGGTTTGCAGTGCACAACATCAGAAAGATCAGGCCCTTTCTAACAGAGCATGCTGCACAACTTCTTGTCCAGGCCCTTGTCATCTCTAGGCTGGACTACTGCAATGCTCTTCTGGCTGGACTTCCATCAAGCACAATCAAACCTCTACAAATGACTCAGAATGCAGCGGCACGACTGGTCTTCAACGAGCCCAAAAGAGCCCACGTTACACCTCTCTTTATCTCCTTGCACTGGCTACCGGTTGCGGCTCGAATCAAGTTCAAGACATTGATGCTTGCATATAGAACAGCCACAGGCTCAGCACCCGCCTACTTCCACTCACTACTACGAATCTACATCCCCTCCAGAAGTCTGAGATCCGCTAGTGAGCAACGCCTCGTGGTACCATCACAGAGAGGCTCAAAATCACTTTCCAGAACATTCTCGTTCACTGTTCCTGGTTGGTGGAATGATCTTCCCACCCCTATCCGGAATGCTGAATCCCTGACAATTTTCAAGCGACAGCTGAAAACTCATCTCTTTCGATGCTACTTGACTTCCTAAATTAAAGAAGAAAAAAAAAAACTTTGTTTTTCTCTTTATTTATTCCTTCCCTTTCTAGCTTGTACTTATTTGAACAATGCCTAAAACCTTGTATGACAAGCACTTCCTTTGTCTGTTTGCCTCTTTAAGAAGTGTCGCTTCATGTATTCCCCAATTGTAAGTCGCTTTGGATAAAAGCGTCTGCAAAATGACTAAATGTACATGTAAATGTAAATAATATTTAATTTAGAACATATATTATAATATTATTAAGTTTGAAATATATATTCTATCTATCTATCTATCTATCTATCTATCTATCTCTCTTGATCTATCTATCTATCTATCTATCTATTTTTGCTTTTATATTTACATATATTTATTTAAACAATTATATTTTAGATTTATAATAGTTTTTATTTCTAATATATAATATAATATAATATTATTTATATAATAGTGCATATATTCGCAGTTATATAGTAACTTATATACTTTAGTTTTGTTTATATTTCATTTAAAATATATATTATAATATTATCTATCTCTCTCTCTCTCTCTTTGGGTTATATTTATGAAGTGGGTGAAGTAAAGGCTTAGAGGCGGGGTTTGTGTTGTTAGCGTTCCGCCCACCCGAGTTCGGGCCAATGGGCTTCCCCTGCGTCCCGCTGTAACCGAACACACATTCGCAGCGAGCGGCGCTGGGTTCACACCATCATCACACCTCCTGCCGAACCGAAAGCGCATCAGCTAACTCACAGATGACCCGCAGTAGAATGACGGAGAGTGACTCGCGCGTCCGGAACGCGGGTGTGTTTGTCGAGCTCTGCGTTCATCTGAACGGACCCCTGCTCTCCATCTCGCCGAGATCAGTCTGAGCGTCTGGCAACTTCTGCAAACCTGTCTGCACGGACTCTCTCTCGGACTGACAGCGCGCTCCTGCTCTGTAGTTGCATGTGTGGATGAGAAGAGCTTCTGCAGACTAGATCGTTTCTGCTAAAAGTCTCACTGACGCGTGTTAGAATGAACCCTAAACACTGACTGGCTGATTTGTGTCTCTCCGGCGGCGCAGTCCACAGCTATTGACCGTAGTGCGGACATTCACACCACTGACAGAAGATCGTGGACATCTCAACACTTGCTCCACTGTCTGACATCAGCCGCGTCGGGAAGAGCCGAGCCACAGATGTGAATGAAAGTCGACTAAAGCAAGAGGGATATACGCGTCCGAGTGTGCTGTAGTGATGCTGCAAGTGGAAATGATCATATTCGTGGGTGTGATTCTGTGGATGTGTGTATTTAGTCAAGAGCCCAGCTCAAAGGTGATGGCCGATCGATACGCTGTCTACTGGAACCGAACCAACCCCAGGTGAGCGGTTCTGTGCGCTTCTATTCGCCGCTGCTTTGCAGGAACTTTGTGTGCGAGACACTTCCACTTTGCATGAGCGTTTCTAGAGAGACGCAGGTTTAAAGAGCGCTAATTAAAATATTCGAAAAACACAAGGACAGGCAGTCGCGTTAATTATATGAATATAGACGCTTTATCGAGTCGCGCGCATCGGCCGGCGTTTCTGCGATTATTCGCGATTTGTTATAAATAATGAATCGTGGATTTTTTTTAATGCAGAACAGTAGAGTAATATCAAATTCCGTTTATTCATACGGATGCATACAATATGTATCAGATTAAACACTCACAGTTAAAATTGAAAAAAAAAAACGCGTATTTTTTCTCTCTTTAATAAAACCGATCGGACTTTATATTATAAAGTTGACTTTAGTGTTTGCTTCCGTACTGTGTTTAATTCTCATTCAGGTGGTTTCAGTCTCATGGTTTTTCGAGGCATGGCGCATTTTTCCAGTAAAGTTGTTATGATACCTATTTACAGTTGCATAAGTGAAAAACGCTGCTCCGCAAAAATCTATAATTAATCCAACGTTATTTTGCGATAGACTGAACGTTGCGCTCTAAATGTATTCGTATGGCTTTGAAGCGTCGATTCAGTGACAGTGAAACTCTGAAATAAAAACTATATGCAATATGCGAATTAACACATAAATGCGGTTCAATATCCTGAAATTATTTGAACTAAAAAGTATTTGTGGATATTAAAAGGGCAGCAGACGGGATCTGTTTCACATCAACTGTAAATGACTCTGCAATTCTCACTACATGTTTAAATGTCTAACAATGATAAGATGAGGTGAATGCGTTTATAGATGAGAGCACAGCTTTTATATTTCTAGACCAAGCAGAAACAATAATGCATTTAATAGTGCAGATTAAAATGCTTCATATGTTTGTTTTTTCTAATTAAGAAAATAAATTAAAAAGGGCTACAGAATATAACTCCAGTCTCTGCATGACCATTGATGTTTAATCTATTTATTTATTTGTATCTCAGTCACTATTTTTTTCTGTGTAATCTGTTTGTTATTTAAAATGTGTAATTTTTGGATATTCACACATTTACACTTTTCATAAAAGCAATAAAGTCTTATTTTTTCAATGCATCTCCAGTACAGCTAAAAAAAAAATAGGTTGCATATCATATTTAAAACTCGTTTGAAAGGAGCAGACCGTTTTGAAACCTGCCGTCAGGGTGAGTAGATTTCTGCTGATTGGAAGTTTTCGGTCAGAATTTCTCCCCTGCATCGAAAGCGCAGGTTATTATATGTGACACTTTGTTTAAACAGAAAAATGCAGGTTTCATTTTATATGTGAAAAGCCACGGTTTTATTTGGCAGACCAGATGGTCATTCTGTTGCATGATTAACAAAAAAAAGTTTAATTGCAGATTGCTGTGCATAAAAAAAAGAAATATTTCACAGTATAAAGTCCTGTATTTTTTCTCCTTAATGTTTTTGGGGAAATAACCCTATAGTTCCCAGAAGCACAGATGGTTTGCAGTGATTCCCGTCAAGGCCTGTAAGAATCCAGTGGTTTCCGAAGTCTTTTATTGTCTTGTTTTTTTAGTGGAAGGCAGATAGACTCATAGAAAGGATGTTTTGTGTCCAGTAACTCATTTTGATGTGCAGTAATCTTCTTTGTTTGACTCATAGTGATCTTAACAAGAAGTGCATGTATGCAGGAGATGATAAGAATACATGGACTGTAAAACTCGTCGACCAGAATGAATTATTTAGCATGACGTCTATCTAGAAGTTTAGGTAATTTTAGTAGTGCATCCGCTCTTTTTGTATTCATCACATGGGCTCTGACTGAATATTAGAAGGGCAGATGGATTGACACGGGTCGTCTGTTGGTGTTCTGAGTATGAATCGTTAATTGGTTAATTACTCACTGCACCTTTGGCACACTAAACGACAGTAATGAGGACGCTGTCCCGTTTCCCATGCTCAAGAAACCCCGCTAGCCAGATCTCCCTCTGACTTCCTTCCCCTTTAGCTGCGACTCTCTTTATTTCTCAGTGCCATGCTGAGCAGAGAAAACAAATGAATACAATTAGATATTTCAGGAGCTTCATTCCTCCACTGGAGACCCGGGCGTAAGGGTCACGCGCTCTCCGAACGGAAACCCCACATACATTCAGCTGTAACACGATAGTTGGGTTGCTCGTGAAAATGTTCCATGGTGAACCACTGTCAGAAATATGTTCCCATTCGACTTAAACGTGCAGGACCATCCGGTGTTTATGGGATAGCATTTACAACATCACTTCCCGTAAAACTCCCCAAAACACAATGAATTACAGTTCTAAACCTATATATATATATATTTTATTAAAAAAAAAAAGTAATATTTTAAAAATAAAACATTATTTTTTAAAATATTTTTTATTACTATTTATAAAAATTTTGCTTGCAAAATAAAAATATTTTTAAATAAAAATTAGTATACATTTCTAATTAAAAAAATATTTTTATTAAATATTCATATTCATTTTTTAAATAAAAATATTCATTATTTGTAATAAAATAGTTTTCATTATTTATTAAAATTAGTTTGCAAAATAAAAAATATACATATCTAATAAAAATCTTTGTTTTATTAAATATTTATAATAATTATTTATTACGATTTTGTTTGCAAAATAATTTTTTATAATACAATTTTAATAAAAATATGAATAACTTTTTTAATTTGCATTTTTTTTAAATTACTTTTTATTAAAGTTTTCTTTGCAAAAAACTGTTTTGCATTTTTCTCCTGCTGCTTTACATAGTTTAACCCAGATTAATTTTTAAGAGAGAAGTTCCCACCGTTGTTTAACCATATTGAATTGAATTGAACCTCCTCGAACTCCACATGCAACAGCTTACATGTACTTGCATGTGTTTTAAATCTCCCTCTTCTGTGGAAGATTAAAAAAGTACAGGAATACAGGATCCTGTACTTTTTTTATGAATTATTATGATGATTTTAAAGAGCAGACGATGACATAAAGGACACCAGATTTGAAAAACAGAGACCAGGATGGCAGTGGATTAATGTTAGGCAGAAAAATAACTTCACGGTTATTAGGTGCTTGAAAAGGCAGCGGGACGTTTGTGCAATGCAACAGTTTTTTATTTGATAAGAGAAGAAGAGCCAGGGATTTACTGTCTGTTGTTTTTGGAAAAAATGCCTTTTCAAGATAAGGCTTTGTAAACTTTGATGGCATTGCGTTGGTGTCGATCTTCTGGGATTCTGCTCTGGATTAGACGTACATGAGCGAACGCTGAGACGCAGCTGCTTTTGCCATGCACTTCACTTTAGAATCTGCATGCAGGACGCATTTATTATCAGCAACATTCTAGCTGATTCTCTCGTGTAATTAGATTTCTGTAATTAATTTAGCGCAGACTCTTATTGGGTTGTGCGTTTAATCTAAAGCCACATGTCTTAATGTTCTGGTCCACTTTTAATATGCAGCAGAGGAATGTGAGTCAAATACGCCTGTGCTGCAGGTTTTGGTTTTGTTGTACATGTTTTGTGCATCAGCATGGTTATGATGGTTAAAATAAGCAAATGCACAAGACAGATGTCTGGTAGTAATAGAGCTCGTAAAGCAAGATCCTTTACTGAACAAGCCTGTTGTGAAATGCATTTTATTTTATTTGCTTTTATTCATAATGCATATTTAATATCCGAAGCTTGAGAGCCTCATCCAGCAAATAATGGTGAAAATAAGCAAATGCATCGTCTGCTAGTAATAGAGGAATGTTTGAAGCATGATCCTTCTACTGAACAAGACTTTTGTGAAGTTAGTGCAATTTATTTTATTTGCTTTTATTCATGATGCATGCTTTATATGAATTCATATTTGAAACTTGAGAGCCTCATCCAGCAAATAATGGTTAAAATAAGCAAATGCACTCAGAAAAAGCTACACCATTGTACCTTATTTACACCAAAGGGTGCATTTTAGTACCTTAAAGGCACATATTTGTACCTAAATTAGTACCTAAATGGGATGTATTAGTACCTTTTGAAAGGGTAGCGCCCCAGTGACAGTTTTTGTCCCTTTTTTTCTGAGAGTATGCATAAGACAGATGTTTGTGCATTAAAAGAGCCTTACAAGATCCTTTTATCGAACAAGACTGTTGTAAAGTAATGCAATTTATTTTATTTGCTTTTATTCATAATGCATATTTAATATTTGTAATCTGAGAGCCTCCTCCAGCAAATCATGGTTAAATTAAGCAAGTGCACTCACAAAGCTGCCACTGGGATGATACCCTTTCAAAAGGTATGTCTTTGTACCTTATTTACCACCAAAAGGTGCATTTTAGTACCTTAAAGGTACATATTTTTGCCTAAATTAGTTCCTAAATGGATTTTTTTCCCCAAACATATTTATGTTTTTGCATCGTCTGGTAGTAATAAAGCTCATAAAGTAATGCAATATATATATATATTTTTTAATTCATAATGCATATGTAATATGAATTAATATTAATTTTGAATAATGCATATTTAAAACATTGAAATTTGAGAGCCTCTTCCAGCAAATTATGATTAGAATAGGGATATGCCGGTATCAAATTTTCATGTTGCGATTAATTGCTAATGCTTTTATCACGGTATACGGTATAATCACGATGTTGAAATTTTGTTTTAAAAAAAGTGCTGTCATAATACAGTATAACAGGTTTAATAAATTTTTTCTCATAACAAAAATAACTGAACATTTAAATGCAATAAAGCAATACAGAAAAATGTATAAAGTTAAAAGTTTTACACAGATTAAAGTGCAAAAGAACTATAAAGACCAATAGGTATCACTTTACAATAAGACCTATCTGCTGTCAGAGAGTGAAAGTGCGCTTTCATCCAGAGCGTCTCTCACATGTTCCGCCATGTGCTTCTTGTCCACGCTTGTTTACTCAGAGTGCCCATGCGTCTTTCACGCAGCATACAGCGGT